TCCTTCTTCTTCTATTTTAAGAGGGATCAGTAAACATAGGCGGAGTTTGACATTTACGCTTCGGGGCCGGCAAACGCTTTTTACTGACTTCAGTACACATTCCCAACTATTACAGTGGCGGTGCTACGGATACGTAGCATAATAGCCAGCGCCCACCGCACTGAGTATGATTTTCCTACAGTACGAACACAACTCGTCCGTCATGGCACGCCTTCTGCCCGCCGTACACCACACACTCATATGCGAAGGGGCGGTCTCTCCCCCCAAACAACAGTGCATACATAACTGTAAAAACTTATATGCAACTGTGCACATCTTATAATTATTGATAACTACTAATCCCTTGGTTCTTGAACACCCTACATGTTTATTAACCAGTGTCCCTACCTTATTAAAATATTGATATACTAAATATTTGTATTGGAACAGTCTTTCGACCGTAGTAATGGCCCCCTGGGGGGGGTTAACATTTTCGCAAATCCGTCTAATGGAACTCAGTAATGGTAACGAGCGCTACCGTTGACGGTTTGATTCAGAGGAGTTTAATTTATAGATCCTGATGTTAAGGTAACCAGAATTTTATTTCCCACTGTGTAAACATGTTCATGAAGGGATTAATAGCAGCGAGTAGGGCGTCCCTATATACGTTAATATACAACTTACGTTGGATGTCAAATTTATAAGACCAAATATACAAGACTATCTTTTTACATTGACATACAAATCAAATATTGTATTACAAAAAAAACTAAAAACAAAATAACAACAAATGGTGTTAAAATTAGAAGTAATTTCTGTAAGAAAAATATTTTTCATGCATTTTTAGATGTTATGCAAAAGCATTACGAATGACTAAAGCAGGGGTATTCAACTGAAATTCAACGAGGTCCAGTTAGAGAAAATCTCCCCATGGCAAGGCCGGAACTCAAATGTCTAACTTTCCTTCTTATGAAGTGAGTGTGATAAAGATAACAGTGGGGCAAAAAAGATTTAGTCAGCCACCAATTGGCAAGTTCTCCCACTTAAAAAGATGGAGAGAGCTGTAATGTTTCATCCTAGTATACGCTCAACTACTGAGAAAGGGGGAAACCCCAAAAATGGAGAAAAAAAAATCCAGAAATCACATTGTCTATTTTTTAAAGAAAATTTATTTGCAAATTAAATGGTGGAAATAAGTATTTGGTCAATACAAAGTTCATCTCAATACTTTGTTATATACCCTATTGCTGGCAATGACAGAGGTCAAACGTTTTCTGTAGTCTTCACAAGGTTTTTTACACACTGTTGCTCGTATTTTGGCGACATTCCTCCATGGACAGAATCTCCTCTTAGAGGGCAGTGATGTTTTGGGGCTTCGCTGGGCACACGGACTTTCAACGCCTCCAAAGATTTTCTAATGGGCGGTGTGAGGATCGGAGACTGGCTAAGCCACCTCCAGACCTTTGAAATGCTTCTTAACGAAGCCACTCCTTGTTGCCCGGGCCGGTGTCGTTTGGGTCAATTGTTCATGCTGAAACCCAGCCACGTTTCTCTTCAAGTGCCCTGCCTGAGAATGGAGGCTTGTCCACTCAAAATCTCAGCGATACAATGGCTCCATTCATTCTTTCCTTTACACGGGATCAGTCGTCCTGGCCGTTTGCAGAAAAACAGCCCCAAAAGCATGATGTTTCACCCCCCATGTTTTCCAGTAGGTATGGTGTTCTTTGGATCAACTCACACCACATATCTATTCTCCTCCAAGGCTTAAGCAGGGGGACACGTCTGGCACTGCACGGCATTTGAGTCCCTGCGGCGTAGTGTTGTTACTGATGGTAGCCTTTGTGTAATGTTGGTCCCGTTCTCTGCCGGTCATTGACATTATCCCCCATGATGGTTCGGGATTTGTGCTCACCGTTCTTGGCTCATTTTGACCCCACGGCTGAGATCTTGCTGGAGCCCAGATCGAGGGAATATAGGGTCTTGTTGCTCCATTTTTGTTAAATAATTGTTCCCACAGTTGATTTCTTCCACACAAGCTGCTACCTATTTACGATTCAGTCTTCGCAGCCTGGTGCAGTCTACAATTATTGTTTCTGGTGTCCTTTGCAGCTCCTTGGTCTCTGGCCCATAGTGGAGTTTGGAGTGTGACTGTTTGAGGTTGTGGACAGGGTCTTTATATGTGAAACAAGTTCAACAGTGCCCATCTATCAGTTAACAAGGTGGCAGGACAGAGCGCAGGCTCTTAAAAGAAGAGTTACAGGTCTGGTGAGAGCCAGAAATCTTTTGTATTGTTTGTTATGGACCAAATACCTTATTTCCACCATAATTTTGCAATAAAATTCTTTTTTAAAAATCAGACAATGTGATTTCGATTTTGTTTTTTCTCTGATGTGTTGTCTCTCATAAGTTGAGGTATACCGTTGGATGAAATTACAGGCCTCTCATCGTTTAAAGTTAGGAGAACTTGCACAATTGGTTGCTGACTAAGATACTTTTTTGGCCCCATGTATATATTGAAGTACGCCTGTAGCTTCTATCACGTCTGCATGTAATCAACAGCTGACTGCAATCAAAAAAGAAAGTACATTCAAGAAACAACAACAATTGATTTATTGGTCAATGAACATTGAACTATACCCGATATACAGTAAAATACTGTGGATATGTGTAATTGTTCCTCTCGTTGCATTTAAAATCAAAATAGAGAAATAAATAAATAGCTTTTGAAAATAATGTGCATCTTAAAATGCTTAATTTTAGATAAAGAAAAATAAAAGTTGCAAGCAGCTGAGTTTCCCTTTTTTCTTTGTTAACCGTTCACCATCATGACTTAACCAGTCGTCAGCGATTATAAGAACCAAATCAGTCTTTACACATAATTAACAATTGAACAGTTTTAAAGTTTTCTTTCTTTCCCTCTTATATTGCAGTCCCCTCACTCACTCTTATTTATTCAGTGCGTAAAGATTGAGCCTTGAGCTTGTCCTGCCAGGAGTTTAGATCTGCGCTGAAATGGTGTCAGGGCCATTTTCATACACACATGCAGGTGCTCATTGATTAGCCTCGGTTAGCCTGCCCTGGAACGATATTTAGTTTTAATGTTGATCCTGGTGGACTGATCATATCGGGCTCTGAGACTGCTTATTTGTTGTGACCTCAGTTCTGACTTGAGAGGGAATGTTTGGTCAAACACTTTGTGTTTTGTCTCATAGTGGCGTTTTGGCACTTTTAATGAGTGCCACGGTCTCTGAACAAATGAGACACACTGGTTCTGTGCTCCCAGTGGGCAGGATGAACATGAATGAGTCCACTCAGGGTTAAAAGCTCTGTTCTCACTGTCCACTTTCCTCTTCTTGGAGAGCGCCATGTGTAATTATTTGTCTCTCCCTGTCTGCCGCTAACACGCCTGTTCCCTCTCCTCTCCGCTTCTCTCCCTGTATCGCTAACTTTTCTCTTCACTCACTTTCCTCTCCTCTTCTCTCTGCCGCGCTCTCGTCTCTTCTTCTGTGTTTCTCTCCCTGTATCGCTCACTCGTCTCTTTCGCCCCGTGTCGGCGGCGGTTAAAATAGAATCGCCCCGTCAAAATTGAAATCCCCTATTAATGTATTGATTATAGGTCCGCGTCTGGGTCCGGATCTGGACCGCGGTCCGCCTGTTGCCGACCCCTGGTCTAAAGAGACTCGCTGTGTATGAGACTCAATACTCGCTGGTTGTACTTTTGCGGGCATCCAATTCGCTAGGTGGCGATGTTGCAAAACAACTAGGGTCCTAGGAGTGCGGTCCCAGGACTGCGGTCCTGAAACTGCAGTCTTTGACACTGCTGCTTCATACAGCGCGCCGGACTGGCAGCCACAGCCGCCAGGCTAAAATGCTGGTCACATCCTTATGTAAACAAACATGCATGTAAACGGCAGTTTATCGACCTCAGAAAAGTTATCGAGTCCATTTTTATTTATCGTACGATAAGTCAATGTATTGATTATCGCGACAGGCCTACATATTCTTCCAGTCATAGAAGTGTTAGACTGTAGACAATGGCCGGACACTGGGCCTCTGATGAGTCAAACGTTTCCCTCCATCTGTGGACAATGCACTGTTCATAAAATCCTCTCTGTGTGTATGTGGCCACCGGACACTACTACTTCTTAAGTAATGTGATGATTTGTCTGAACAAAGTCCACTATTCACAAAACAGGCAGCCTCTGGCCAACAGCAGTAGCACAGAGAGCCTGAAATAGAAAGGATGGGGGTTTGTGTTTCTATGTGTGTTCTCAGACATCATGTTTATACATTACAATGACTGTTTTTATCAAAACAGCCTGATGCCCTTAGGGAGTCAGTTCTCTACCAAGCACCTCGCCCAACACAAGTAGCCTCAGTGTGTTTAGCTGGTTACCTTCACAACAAATAGTGCAAACCAGATGCATTCCTCTCTGAGTGCTGAGTCAGACCTCGGGATGGGCCGCTGTGAAGATGTTCCAACTGGTTTGATATTCAGGCGACAGCTTTACGGAATTCAACACTCAGCAGCGGGAGTGGAACATAATGAGAGTAACGTCTCCAGCCCACTGGGTGGAGGTAATGCTTCTGTAAGCTGGTTTGACAACAGCAATCAACTCTAGAAGAAGCAGAGCGGGCAACTCATCAGCCTACACATCCTTTTTACATTACTTATAACAACAATTTAAATGTTTTATTGTTTGGCACAGTTCTCTGAGATAAACGATTCCATGTCTCATCTTATCTGCCAAGGAAAGATACGCTTTGTAATAGACAGTGCCCCCTCCCACCTGGGCTGAAATGTAAAGCTCTTCATGTCGGTTATTACTAATGCAATTTAGATTTAATGCTGTGATGCTGTTGGCCCACTACTGCCAGCACGTTTCATAATGACAAATGTTTTCTGGTTTACATACAATCAATCAAACAGGTTCAAGCTTGTACATCGGACACCTTATAAAGCTGTTGGACAGTTTTAAAAAAAATGAGTTGTGATTTATTTGTTTACTGAAAGTTGACAATTGACTTATTGCAGTGGTTTTCAAACTGTGGGGCGGTACTGAAGGGGGGGGCGCGGGAAGAAATTGTAAACAAACACTGCCCGAAAATAAATCTACAAAATGGAGACGTTTTTAACACGGCCGTCAGAGCAGCTGAGTCCGGAGCTTAATGTTGTTTTGTCCAATGTTATAACCACCTTCAATTACATCAAAACAAGACCACTGAAAGCTCGCCTTTTCTCCGCATTGTGCGAGGGGATGGGCTCCGAGTACACAGCTGTTCTTTTTCACAGCGAGTCCCGATGTCTCTCTCGCGGAAAAATGCTGTCCAGGATGCTGGCGCTTAAAGATGAGATCAGAATCTTCTTGGAGGAGGAGGGGAACGATCTTGCCATTGATAGGCTATGTGTGGAATAGGAATTGTATAGTGATGTGATCGTTTGCAACCTGCAGTAGAAATAGTAGTTCAGTGTTCATTCATATATTTTCCTTAAATCTATTTTTCACTTTTGTTCATGTGTAATCCATAATAAAATATAAAATGATAGTTGGATCTTTGTATCTTCTTCTTATTATTAGCAAAGAAAATGTAATGTTTATCATTTTATATTTTATTATGGATTACACATGAACAAAAGTGAAAAATANACATTGGTTTCTCATCCAGCTTCTCTGTATAGTATGTGTATTCACTCTCTGTCCTACACGGCTTGTTGGAGCTCCTGCCCCCCCCTCCCTGTGAGCCCAGTGGCCGTCTGCGAGACAGGGAGACACAGCGAAACCTACCCCGAAACACACACACACACACACACACACACACACACACACACACACACACACACACACACACACACACACACACACACACACACACACACACACACACACACACACACACACACACACACACACACACGACAGGGCAGATGTGCAAACACGCCTGACAGAGTCTCCCCCCCCTCCCCGACCTCAACACACCATAAATGAGTAATAAATAAAAACCAGACCCAATCTCCCACCGTGTAATGGAACAAGGCTTCATTTACCCAGTTCACAGGTGCTGTGTGTGCACATGCAAGTGGCTGAAGGAAAGATCGACCAATAGATGGCAGCGGACATTCTTTAGAACAACAAACATGACTTAAGAGCATCCTTCCAGAGAAATAAGCATGGTGTCACCTAACAGCGGTGTGGTGTACAATTCCTAGATTTTAATCCTCTTAGAAATAGAGCATGTTCAAATTTCAAAATAGAATTTGATACCTCTATTCTACATACAATCACTGGCTCAGATGATGGAAAACAATAACATCAATTAGAATAACTTTGTAAGCAGTACTGATTTTGAACAGCTTCAGTTTTTTTGGAACTTCTGCATGGACATTTCTTCTTACTTACACTGGCTGCCAAAATGTAGGTCATTACAATTTAATTGCAATAAGTTAATATTGTCCCAGCATTTTTTATTAAGTTTACGTTTTTTTAAATGTTTAAGTGTAACAAATGGATAGAAAAGGATGCCAGATGTTGTCTTAGGGGCAGCTGAAGACACGACATACATTTAAATGAGGGGAATGAGCACAATGCTGACTGTGCATTTAACTATTCAAATAAAGAATGACATTTAATTTGGCAATTGAAACACTGTGCAAACAGAAGGCCAGTGATTTGAAAGGCTCATTAAAAACCAGCCTGTGTTTCTCAGGCCTATTCTAACTGGTTATGTGACTTCTATTATGTGACTGTGTGTACAATGAAACTAAACAGTGATTATAGGCTGGGATGTAGAAGGTTTACAGAAGCACTGATAAACCTGCTGAACACTCTCCAAGGACCCGGATCCTGATGACTCCCGTTGGGAAGACAGACGCATGGTCCAGTGAAAAGCAGGAGCAAGTGGCTCACACTGGTTTAAATGAGAAAATATTTAAATGGCATGAAAAGCATTAACATACACAAGACATGCAGCTATTTTCACAAGAGAAGAGAGGAACTCATATCTGGCAATCTTCAGGGAGAAAGGGAGTGGAGAGAAGGATGAGGAATTGACCTTTTCCAGGATGGTATAGCCTTTAATCCGTAGTACAGAGTCCTGCTGGGGACATGCACACTGGAGAAGTCTGATAAATCAGGCTCAAATGCCAACGTGAATCTGCATTTTTATGTGTGTATTAACAAAAAATGGACCAAGTGCTCTGAAGTGTGTCCACTTGGAAAGGGCTGTTCTGGCGGCTGTATTGGTTGAGTGTTTGAGGGGGAACAATTTACATATTGATTACTTATTGGATTACTGGCTGCACCTTAAGGGCTACCGACATCGTACGGTAAGTGTGTGTTGTCATTTCCGGTTTTCCCTTATTTCTGTGTTGCCGGTAGCATACTTTAGCCGATATAGCTTGACGAAGTTGATGTGGTTATATTCTTGATCGAAGTGGATAACCACCCATTCTACATGTTATCCATCACTTGTTCTGCTCAATTACAGTATGGCTCTCTTCTTGCCTTGTGACGTGCAGCTTAAAGCTGAAGCCCACGGTTCACCACCAACCGCTTCTAACCAGTTCTCCCCACTCAGCCACACACGCTGAGAAGCGAGACTAGTCAAGATCATTTTATCTTTCAAAGCCCAAAATCAAACATTTGACTCTTTAAGTTTTACAATGTGTACAGCAAAACACTACCTCTATCGTTATACTTCCCTAAAACAATAGACAAATGTAACGTTGTGCCCATATGCCTCTGGGATTAACACTCAGAACAGAACATCCTACGTCTAGTTGGAATCAAATCATACTTATAACATAATGAAAGGCATAATCCTTATAAACTAACAATTATTTTTCCAAATAACAAGACAAGCAAATTTAATGTGAGAGAAGGTTTATGCTTGAATTAAGTTATACATCCATACTTTAGGTCTTAAATTAATGTTGTTTAATATTCAGGGTTTTACGGTAGATCTCAACTTTGTGTGAATAATAGATCTGGAATCAAGTAAATCACCGGACTACTCCATCTCTAAAAAGGAAGACTCAACAGGAATATTATATGTATTGCTCATAACATAACAATACAACTAACTTAGTCCAACAATAGCAGCAGAAAAGTCACATTGACTGACAGCAGGTTGAATTATCCATCAAGTTTTGATTTCAGTTGGAACCTGAACATATTTCCCAAAAATGTCATACTTAAACTAATTTGAATTTATTCAGTTTGTGTAAACTCAAGTAATATAAAAATGACAAATTCAATACCCATGTTGTAAATGTAACAGTTGTTTTGGAATGAGAGAGAAAATGTTTGTTATGTGTAATGAGATAAACTCACAATATTTCACTGCCCCCTGCTGGAAGAGCGTTCAACTTTCATTACATGAGAGCGAACTGCAGAACAATTACTGTTCAACGCAATACAAATAATCTTTAGGCAATCCAAATGTCATTCCAAGGTGTGTGGCGGGGATAGAATCATTAGGCAGGCGAGAGCCCGAGCCAACAATTAGGGCTGACATTTCACTGTGAAGCGGTCATTAGTCACTTCCAAACAGGCCTGATGTGATAACTGTAATATCTCTAAATTGCAGCAATTAGAAAAGGTTTGCCGGAGGAGCCTGAAAATGTTCCATGTGCTTTAAATGCCAACAATGGGACAATCTAATTAGTCGAAGGAAGATGAAAATAAGCTTGAATTAATGTGTCAATAAGACAAGGTATCCAATATCTGTAGAGGCAGGGTTTGTGTTTAACTTTTGATGATATTTCAGTGGCTAGTTTAGGTGCCACACCTACTGTACACACACACTGCTACACAAAACAAACAGTGCTATCCTTCTATGAAAACCTAAGAATGATATATGTTGATTTGGTTATCAAATATTGTGATCTTTTTGTGATTGATATATTGAATATGATAATTGAATTTTTTTAAATCACGGTGAAAGCTTCAAAGCATGCTTCTGTCCACACATGGAGTGTGTATAGTTTATTTGTTGGTAAATCAATGCTACAACTTTTCAAAATCCAAGTCAAGTCCTTGGGCCCTGCTACCCAGGAACCTAAGAAGGGAAGACACACATGGAGGAAAGAGAGTAAAGTGGGGTGTTGAAGGGAACCCACCTGTTTGATGGAGCTGCGGGTCTTCTCCTTCCACTGGTGGCTGCTCAGCTCCAGGGTGCAGTGGACGTAGGTTTCTCTATCATAGGAACCCAGGATGAACAGTCTGCAGGGACAGGACACAGATCACAGGACACACAAAGACTTTTTAAAAACTGTGAATTAATTCAAACGTAGTTGTACTCATGTTTCTTAAATATCAATTACAACTGTGGCTGCGAGCGAGTGCTTCAATCGAAATAGGCTTAAGTTGTTCCCGATGGCGTGGCTGCCGTGATGTGTTATATGAATAGTGAGTAAGTGGCACATTGCTCTGCATGAACGAGGTGTGAATGATGACTTGAAGAATGAAAAGCACTTTGAGTATAAGTACAGCAGAATATTTAACTATCAGTTCTCTCAATACTCTGTTCACTGGTTTGAAGTGGGAAAAACAATGGGAAAAAGGTGAAGTCACACATGGCCACCATCCTATCTTAAAGGGGCACTTCACTGATTTTATAACTAAATATAAATATATTGGATTGTGGCCTGTGAGAACAGTTGTGGTTCATTGAAGCCTTTCAGATCTGAATTTGTCTTTTGTATGTCCCACGTTTTTATGAAATAGCAATATTATAAGACAAAGATTATCACGGCCAAAAAACTCTTTATTCAAATATTTACCAAACCATGAGGTGCAATCCCAACCTTCCCCATCTGTTTCTGTCAGCACACCATTCTTGACTGTTTGCTATGGTGATGGAGCAGAGCATGCATTTGTTTGGCTCCTCCTGCCCCCTGGTGTGCTGAGGAGATCACTGCCTGAGACACTGAAGAAAAGGACTCCTGATCTAGTCTCAGATCTGTAAATCTCTCTCTAAAGAAACTGCTATATCTCAGGAATAGTTACCAGTATGGTCATCTTAGGAGACTGATCTACCTTAATAAGGTCACTATCTCTTTGGCTATATTTCACATGTCATGGTATATGTGAGGATACTTCCCTCTGCTGGACATTCAGGGCATACGGCACCTGGTTTAGTTGACAGCACAACATGTAATCACTTAAATAGAGATCATGTGATATGACCTAATCAAACAGTGGAATTGGGAGCCCATGTAAACACAAACTTGCTGATGTAGAAGAAGGTGATGTAAGAAGTCTGTATGATTATAATAGGCAGCATATCAATTATTCATGGCAGCGAAGAAGCATGGTTGTCATGGTTACCCTTCTGTTTACTCTCCGCGGTGGGGACCGAGGTAACCGGGCAGAGTTTTTCGCCAGTCAACGTGTATTCAAGTTTAAATCTTCCGGACAAAATTATAAAAGTGCCAGTCAAAGCTCTTCTTTTTTATTTATTGAGCTTTAAAACAAATGAATAACGACTCTATATAGTGTAATAATAAAATACACGGAGCCTCTCTTTTTCCTCCCTCTCTCTCTTCTGACAGCGTCAGAGTCTGTCTCATGCAGTAGCTGATCCAGTAATGAGTGACCAGGCCGACAGTAAAAATAAACATATTTATAAATAGTTTAGGTAGTTTGAGAGGTAATTAAAATAGCTAAGGGTGATGATCTGACTTGAAGTGTGTGTTTTGCTCCGTTCACCGCTGCATCACAGCGGGAGGAGCTGCAGGTGAGCAGAGCTGCGTGTCTCCGTCCTGTCAGATTAGACTTCACTCGCGTTTATGTCCATATCGAGAGAAAGATAAATAATCTGAATTCAGTGTGCAGTTTACTTTGACGCGGGGGTGAGCAGCAGAGGTGGGGAGAGGCAGGGCTATTGCCTCATCATTTTCACAAAATGATCGTATAGGTCCTACACACGGAGCCGTTGGACCCCCCAGAGCGTTGCGTATGCCGTTCTATCCACCTTGGGACCCGTTATCGTTACCGCAGTTGTTTACTGTCATATTCGGTCGTCCTAGTGTGGCAGAACGGTCTATATGACACTAAACAGTAACGCAAACGGCCGTATCGTTCTCGTGGGGCCGGGGCCTTAATGCCTGCATTTAAGGACGATGAATAGCGTAGTCAATGCTTTAGTGACAAGGCAATGATTTGTTTAAAGGGGACCTATCATGCAAAATGCACCTTTTGTACGTTTTTTATACATGAATATGTGTCCCCGGTGTGTCAGGGAACTCACCAAGAGTCAAAAAACACAACCCTCTCNAGGAATTGTATAGTGATGTGATCGTTTGCAACCTGCAGTAGAAATAGTAGTTCAGTGTTCATTCATATATTTTCCTTAAATCTATTTTTCACTTTTGTTCATGTGTAATCCATAATAAAATATAAAATGATAGTTGGTATCTTTGTATCTTCTTATTATTAGCAAAGAAAATGTAATGTTTTTACAACAATATACAATTAATCCTACCAATATAGAAGGGAACCGGGTTGGGGGGTCCCGAAAATATACCCAAGGGGGTCCCGACTGAAAAAGTTTGGGAACCACTGACTTATTGTATTCAGGGAATACAAATATAATCAGAATCAGAATACCTTTATTAGTCCCACAGAAGGGAAATGTACATCAAACTGAATTAAAGAAAACCCATGCCTTTTCTGGCAGCTATGATGGACTAAAAGCACCTGTTATGTCTCTTGTTATGTGGCTCATCTGTATGTGTGCAGTTGCATTAGTTATTGTTTGAGGAGATTTATTTGTGATTCACAGTCAGGTAACATCTTGAAATAAAATGTATGTTTGTGTTTTTCTCTCTCTCTCTCTCCAGATACAAGCCCTTCTTCCCGTTCCAGGTGCTGCCCTCTCTGGGTTCAGCCTGTGATCTGGACCTATCCGTCAAGGAGAACATGCTGGTGGAAGGCCGACTCAGAGTCACGCTCATTGAATGTAGCAGGTGAGACACTTCTCTTCTCTACTGCCCCTATTTGTCCACATATGTTAATGTGTTTTTGTTCTGGGGCTGTTCTTCCTGGTTTGGATAAAGTGTGCTTTTGTGCCATCAAAAATAAAATGGTATGCAGTTTTAATGCACACACACAGCCTCACAAACTCAGGTTTTTAAAGAAAAGTTACCAAAATGCCCATGAAGTTCATTTCCATTTTCATTATTTTGTAGGAAAAAAACATTCACTCAACTGACACAAACCATGACTGAGAAGGAGTAGGGAGTAGAAAACATGTAATTTAGCCAGCTCCTCACTCACTTCCTCAGTTGTTTTTTATATCACCAGTTCATAACCTGCATGAGTTGCTTTTGTATCAGCCTACACAAGTCTTTCTAAGGGGAAGTAATAAACTGCCAGCTAACTAGGTCATGAGTTACATTTTAAATCGAAAACCTATAGAAATTAGCTTTATTTTTTACCCTGAAATGAAATGCAGTATGGGCGATTCGCCCTTTTTTTCACCACCTGCCTAAAAGAACTAAAGCAATAAAAAATTTTGTCGTTCAAAGATTAATTCTTTGGCTTAATACTTTTTTCAGTTTGAACTAGGGCTGAACGATATGGACAAAATTTCATATCTCGATATTCATGCCAGATATCTCGATATCGATACGATACGATATGACCACGGGTTCGGTGAAAACCAAGCATTTTTCAGAAAAATAAAAACATCATAAAACAAAAGAGTCATACACTCATCATGCAGCACACGGTGGTGTTGTTTCAAGTGGTGAAACATGTTTGTTGTGTTCCCTTTCTTCGTCGCAATTTTCGCCAAGCAAGACCTGCACAACACCTCGCTCTGGTCGACATCCTCCTTTCTAAACCCAAAATACCTCCAAATAATAGAGGAGGATTTATTTTTTGGCACTAAATTAGGTTGTGCACTGCCACCGGCCGCATTATCTTCTGCACTCATGTCTCGTTTCTTCAGTTCTGATTTCCCCGCTGTGAGTATCCTCGTGTGTGTGTGGCTGTGTCCGTCTCCGTCACTCCCAAGTCCCACCCTCCTATGTTTGTCATTGGTTGGGTTCAGCTGGAGACGGACACAGCCACACACACACGAGGATACTCACAGCGGGGAAATCNTGTGTGTGTGTGTGTGTGTGTGTGTGTGTGGTGTGTGTGTACTACAGTGTGAGACGAAAAGAGAAAAAAACCAGAAAGAGAATCCTCAGATGGGACGGTTCCCATTTCATGAGTTTCATTATAAAAAGCTCTGAATGCTCAGCGAGACAGATTTGCAAGAACCCTTTATAATTACTATTACCACTTAATTAAATATACCAGATGTATGTCAATAATGAATACATTCAATTTGATTAATGTCAAAAGTGATAATACTAAAAATACTATTGGGAAAATTGAATAATAAAACTTTTGCAAATTAATTATTCAAGCTACAAAAAAACAAATCTGCAATTTTTGACTTTTAGATTACAAGCAGATCCATCATATGAGATGTTATAGAACGGAAGACACATATCTGGCTTTTGGTCTGCTCTAACCCTTGAAAGTGCTCTGAGTCCCTGGACAGATAAAGATGTCTGAAGATGTTCATATTTCTCTACGACTTCCCAATCACTGGTGCCACACACACACACACACACACACACACACACACACACACACACACACACACACACACGACAGGGCAGATGTGCAAACACGCCTGACAGAGTCTCCCCCCCCTCCNATAATGAAACTCATGAAATGGGAACCGTCCCATCTGAGGATTCTCTTTCTGGTTTTTTTCTCTTTTCGTCTCACACTGTAGTACACACACACCACACACACACACACACACACACACACACACACACACACACACACACACACACACACACACACACACCCACCCACACCTGGCCTTAGAGAGGGCCATTTTTATGCAGACACACACGCACTGGTTTGTTTGATGTTCCACTTAGGGTGTCTTTGTGTCTTTAATCTGTACCGGACACCCGATGAAAGACAGTTGGTTGATGAGGTGACACACGCACGCATGTAAACACACACTCACACACTCTATCACACACACACTACAACAATGAGTGTTTCGAGCAGCAGATAGGCCCAACCATTCTGGACTTAATGTAGTAACACATCCATCATGGTATATTTATTTTATATTGGCATAACATTACCATGTGGTACATTTTCGTGAATATCATTTAAGATATGCAGGGGGTTTTCTAGAAAGATATAGTATGAGGGCAATACTGTGGGTCTGTTGTTGTATATTAGATAAATCAATTCTGGCGAGAACATGACGCCCGTATAAAAGATGGCGCCGCGGACATAAACGCGACGTCGGAGCTCTACGTAATAGCTGCACTCCTGCTGTCACAATATATTTCATCAGTCTGATTTTTTAAGTTTGAATGTTAAAATATTTTCCCAAATGGAACTTTTTCAACTTGTCGCAGTCTGATGCTGTGTTAAGGACTTTAAATGAGGAAAGTAGACGGTGTCATTATGCTCTCTCTCCTTCCAGAAAACAAGGCAAGCAGCACTGTTTGTCGTGTCAACATGCACATCCAGCACATCATCAAATAGTACCTTAGGGAGCCTATCACCTTTGTAATTTTCTAACGCACACATTAAGTTGTGGCCGGTGACACAATTTCTTGATTCGTTTCCGCCTTGCCGTGCCAATTAAATGTCCTGTTCTAATTCTGTCTGACAACGGCTGGCCGCGCAGCAAACAGCAGATTAAAGACATGAGAGGTTGGTCCCACAAGCTGTTTGTTTCTAATCGCTTCTTCCATGAATCAATTCATCTCAGAGGAAACTCAATAGACCAGCTGTTAGGTGCATGACAGACGGAGCTACAGCCATATTACAGATTTCTTGCTATTTTCATTTGGAATGTATTTCTCTGATCCTATAGGCATGATCTAGGAGATAAACGACCTGTTACTCACTGCAGTGTCCCAACGGCACACTGTTTGGTCAGCCAGATTCAGATCCCAGGATACTTGAGCACTGACGTTTTTAACTAGCAGTTACTTGCACTAGAGATGTTTACGCATTTAAATACAGTATTAGACAAAGTGTGAATTTGCTGTTTACAAATATTCTTTCTCAGTGGAGTTATTTGTATTCTGAAGCGTCTGAATGAAAGATGAAGTAAACAAAATATCCTTTGTCTCGCTGGATTATTATAGCATTTTACTCGTTTTCTTTTTAACTTTACTTAAAGATATTTAGATTTGAAAATACAGAATATTTTCTTTATTTAGAAACATTTGGTTTTGCTTTATTTTAAGATTATGTCATTTCAAATTATTAACATTATCATAATGGTTTCCTGAAAATAACTACATACACTTAACAAATATTATAGAAAATAGGAACTTCCCTAGAGAAATGCTCCATATAATGCCAAGTAAATAATAACAGTTATTCATTTATTATTGGAAATGTCATTCTCAATAATATGTTGAACTCTGTTTGCCTGTGGTCAAATCCCAAATGTTTGCCTGTTCAGAAACATTTGCAATCGGCATTTCTCGATCAGACTAGGTCATGCTGGTGATTTATTGTTATCCTGTAGATTGGAACCAATGCCTTTATTTGACCTACCTATATCTTTCCTGGAAACTTGGTATCAAATGAAAAAGTCAAAATGAAGCGCTGCCAAATATTTGCGTATCACATGTACCATGACTGATGTTTGACATTTTGATTGAGTGCGTTGGAAAAGATGATGTTGATTTAACAGCTCTGTGTAATCCTGGAGTAACTGATGGAGGAACTCGGTCTGAATGGCCTTTCTTTTCATCAGCTAGGATCTGACAGCTGACGTGACGTAGGCTTGTCTGTTTTTCTTCTGCTATGTCACTGTTATTTAGAGTGATGGTTACCACTGAGTTTATGTGCTCTTTGTACTTCTCCTTAACAACAATTATATTATGTAAGATGTATTGTGCTGCAGCAGAGACAAATGGAATAAAAGCATTTATTTTTGTCGTGTGCTTCCTCCCCAACTCGAAGGGACAAGGTTGTGTGTGTTTTAAATACCTTATAGTTTCGTTAAAGGGTCGTAACCCCCCTGTCGTGTTCGTTTCTCCCCCCTTTCTTTGGTGTTCATTTCTTAAGTCTGTTTTAACGGCTCTCATGAACAAAAAAAACATGAATCATCCCCTCATTTTATTAAATACCCTTTTAAGCAATAAACAATGTCTCAGAAAACTGGTTTACATGAATAACTGCAGTGAATATACAAAGAATTGACAATGAAAATATAGTCCAAGATTAACATTGTGTTGATTTGTGTGTGTACTATCTGATGGACATAATCTAAGGTTACCCATTCCTATGCCGGTCTTTTTTGACTAGGAAAGCCAACGATGTAACAAATTGAATTCGATGAAAGTGTGAAATGTCCTACTGTGGAGGACATCATAAGACCTTAAGGCAATCAAATGTACAACCCAATATTTATGATTGATGAAAGTTAATCGATGAAATGAATGATAAGTAAATGTTAAGTGATCAGGTGTTCAGTTGTATGTTCCCAAAAGCAGAATGGCACTCTCTAGGTGAAAGCCGCTCCCTGAAGAGGGAGATAGGAAGAGTGTTTGCATGACAGACAAGCGCTGTTGTTCAAAGGCGAGGAAACGCTGAAATGCCAACTTGATAACGGGAGAATTGGTATGTTGCTTCTTTCTGAACCAGGGGTAGTGGTTTAGAATTTAGTTGTCATTCATTAAACTAAGGCGATGTAATTGTAGTGGCAGATTGATATTTTTTTATATCGGGACAATGCCAGCTACAGAAAGGAGCGTGTGGGCAACAGAGCCACTGCTGCTGTCCATACAAGTGCAAATTAGGCAAAGCACCTTTTTGTTTGCCTCTGTCTCCATAACAACTCCTTTGTTCGTAATGCGTTTGAGAGCTGCTTCCTATGATAAAAAGGCAACTTGAAAATTCAGATTGAGCC